TATCCCCCATCCCTGTTTACTATTCCCCATTCCTGTTCACTATTCCCCATTCCTGTTCACTATTCCTCCATTACTGTTCACTATCTCCCTATCCCTGTACATTATCCCTCCATCCCTGTTCACTATATCCCGACCCTGTAGACATTTGCTCAGGATTCCTTCACTGACCGTGTATGTTTCAATGCTTTGATGTTAAAATCTTTAATATGAAGAAGTGTAGGATTTGTTTGAGTCACTATGAGTAGAATGCCTCTCTGTCAGCTCTGCTGAATTTCCTCTTCAGCCTCTGATGACCCTAACCCCTCCATTCCTGAAGCTGCAGAGTCCATGGCTCTCCTGAATATATTTGCCAAGTGGCAGTTTTCATGTTTGTTTCAACAGCCTGATTTTGTTTCACCTTTAACCATCATGAAACCTCAACGTGTTCTCTCAGTCCCGCACTCAAGGTCGCAAAATTGACAAATCATATTTTCTTTCCTCATATTCCTACAATTGGCAGCAAATTAACACAAACGAGACATGTAACACACGCGCACATAATATATAACTGTGTTTCTGTTTACACAAAAGACAAAGACACAGTCTTACTATTACCAATGAAAAGCTTTCAGAATGGTTTGAGGCATAATTTGATGGCTTGGAAATCCCATTAGGCCATTGACATAATTGCTCCTGCCAATGCTTCTTAAATCTACAAATAGTCAGGAGCAGTGAGGAAAAGGAAGCTGAGTAGCTGCTTAAGAGTCAAATATGCAAGTGGTTAATTTACTAGCTGGTCAAGTTGGCATAGGGTCAATTGAAAATTGGGGTCCCCTTGAAAACTATGTTCTGTTAGCATTGCATATTTAGTATGTCTTGTGCAGCAAGAGACCTCACTTAACTATTGTAGTCACCAGGCTTCTACAAAGGTAAATTAAATATTTATCAGGTGTCATTCTGCCATATAATGAAGGCAGTGTTTTGGAAAATAAGAAGTTTTTGTTCTTAGAAGGAATGAAAATCAACCTTCAATTGGAGACAGGCAAGGGGACAATGGCCATTTTGGCATCATGAGCAGTTGCCTATGGTCATTAACCGAATGAGCTACCAGCTTTTTGGAAGAAGACCAGGAGCTCCCTACATCAGTCCAAGGGCAAAACAAGACTGTTACCACCAAAGGCTGCCTGATATCGGAGACAAACACTCCACCACTGCAAAACGACTGCCCCATCCCTCCATTCTAGAAAACAGCTTTGGGACTGGGGAGGTGTTCTCATCTATCGTGGCGATATATTTCTTTGTCTAATTACCTGAAGTATCATATCTAGGCTGCTGCTTCTTAACAAATTCAACAAACTACCTGAACATAGCTACAAATGGTCAGCTGCCTGTCTCAGGTAGCTGTGATTGTGAACTGCGTTAAATCAAAGGCTGAGTTAACAGCTTGCCTTACCTTTTCTTGATGAGGTCAATGGCTGAGCCTATCAGGCCGTCTTTCATCTGCTGAAACCTGACGCCATAGCCAGAGAGATCGGCAGCTGTTTCCAATAGGACCGAAGGACAACAAGACAGCTGGGCCTCTCCTGCTATGTTCTTCTCCGCGCAGCTAAAGCTCTGACCGAATCCTGTCCGGTTTGCAAGCTCTGGCCTCTTCGCCAGGTCCTCACACTCATGGGGCAGGGTCACTTCTGTCTGTAAGGGTGACCCAGGAGCCGGGCTGGTGCAGATCGGGTCTGGGGAGACACCATGCTCCCCCAGGCTGGTCATCGCCTGGATGGGTAGGGCTGGAGAGGCCTTCCCAGGGCCTTCGCTCCCAGTAGGCGTAAGGCCATTCTGTGAACAAGGCTGTTGGGATTCTGGTTGACAGCGGCAGGGTCTGAGGCCATAGCAAGCGAGTCCCTGGCATCTGAAGGACTGCCGCCTCCGCGGGGTGTGGTGGTCCATCTTAGTCAGTGATGGACAACTGCCACCGGTCACCCTCCTCACTGTGCAGCAGAGAGTGGCAAAACTCTTGCTTTCCTGCGGCTGAGCCTCGGTGCTTGGAGAGTGGCATCTCTCTCTCCTCCTCATCTTTTTGAACTCTTCGAACGAGGGAATGTGGACCCGCGCCTTGAAGGCTCGCCTCCTTTCAGACACCACTGTTGACGGCTCTTTTGGAGTGTTCTTTCCAGGCTGGCGCAGCAGCTCCGTGGTCTGGGACTTCACCACCTCGCCACCCTCCTCCTTGGAGGGGACGGTTATCAGGTTCGGCGTGCTGTTCTGACGGCGCAGCTTCAACCTCCGCAGGGCTTCCTCCTTGATCTCCGCGGGACTGCTCAATCGCTGCTGAGGAGCTGAGCAGCCGTTCTGGGAAGGCATGGCCACCAAGGGGTTGCTCAACATCTTGCCGTACCGTGACGGGCAGTGGCCATGGTTCACCCTTCCAACGCAGTCCTTCGAAGCAGAGAGATCCTCAGGAAAGGCCTGAGGGCGGACAGGTTTACCAATCTCCGCCGCCTTGGGGCTCTGGAACCGGAGCTTCTCTTTCAGCTCCTTCTTAGCTCCGCTGTTCAGGGCCTTCTCGGTCTTTGAAGGGAAAAGCCACTGCGGCACTTTGGTGAATGGCAGTGGGTGTCCCACCTTGGGCCTCCCTGACCGTGGACCAATGCTAGCGCGCAGCAGGCTGTCGACGTCGGGGCGCCCCGTCGAGACCTCATACCAATCGCTGGTCGTCCGGCAGCGGAAGGCGAACTCCCTCCCGGCGCCCTGGCAAGGCGGGCTGAGCGAGTGAACGTTGCCCTCAGCCACCGCGGTCCAGTGAAGGTTCTCCAAGCTCCGGTACGGCCTGGCCTCCAGGCCTACAGCCACAGCGCAGCCGGGCACGGCGTGGCAGAGTGAGCGCTCCGTCATCCGCTGGCAGAACGCCGGCTGCTGAGCCGAACCCGAACACCCCATTGAGCCCGGGTCACACAGGGAGACACTGTCCTGGAAACAGGGGACCACCCGACTTTCGTGCGCGGCTGCGGTGTATGTCATAATGGCTCCCCTTGGGAAGGTGAGGCCTGGTTCAGGAGTGGGGAAGTGCACCGGCAGGTCATCAGAGCAGTGACCAATGTCCATGCCACACAGAACGGGTAATACAGCCGCTGCTCCAGAAAAGTCAAATGCGTTTGGCATTCATACCTGGCATTGAGACAATGGAAACAGACTCCCGGGTATTGGGCACTGAGAGGAGGCTGGGTGCCGTGCTGCAGAGAGACACAGAGAGACTGTTACTATTATCCCTAGTGACGTCGCCCAACCACAAAGCACACTGACAGAACACGCATTCAAATGAAACACTATTTTCTGGTAGAATGCATTGTTTAATCATCACATCGAATACGGGGACTGAGACAAGGTGAGATTTCTTCACTTGGAGGCTGGGTACCTGCAGAATTCTCTACCACAGAAGATTGTGGAGGCCAAATCATTGAATACATTTAGGAAAGAAATAGATAGATTTTAAGGGACTAAATTGTCAAGGGGTATTAGGGGAGAGCGAGAGCATGGCATTGAGATAGCAGATCAGCCAAGAATATGCTGATCAGTGCAATGTGCAGAATGGCCTACTCCTGCTCCTATTATCAGTATTTCTTTTTGGAGTTCTGAGGAAGGGTCACCGGACCTGAAATGTTAACTCTGTTTTCTCCTCCACAGATGCTGCCAGACCTGCTGAGCTTTTCCAGCAACTTTGTTTTTGTTTCTATTTGGAGCTTTGATTTTCCAAACTGGACAGAAATCTCCTGACCCCTTCAAATATATTCCAGTAAGTTACTCTCTCCTGGATTCTATTATTCTATTTATAAACCACCTCGAATCCCTCGATTATATTCCATGCTGTAACTCCCTCCCGGGTATGTGTTATTTTACATATAAATCTCCCCAAACTCCTCAATTAGGTGACAATATTTACTCCTGGTGTCTATCCTATATACAAAGCACCCAAACCCCTGGATTAGATTCCAGCATGTAATTCATTCCTTGGTATCTGTTATTCTGTATTTAAGTCACTCTAAACCACTCGATTAGGTTCTGTATCTTACTCCAGGGTATTTATTATTCTTTACATAAACCACTCAAACATCTCAATTAGATTTGAGCCTATAACTCATGCCTGGGGTCTGTTATTGTATTTATAAACCACCCAGAACCTGTTGATTAGATTCCAGCCGTAACTCACTCCCAGGTATCTGTTAATCTATATGTAAATTGCCCCAAAACCCCTTGATTATATTCCACTCTGTAACTCATTCCTGTGAATCTACTTTTTTACCTATAAAGCATATGAATCTCTTGATTCAATTCCAGTCTGTAACACACTGTTGATCATTCATTAGTGCAGATATAAACCATGCAAACACCTTGATTAGACTCCACCTTGGAGCTCACTCCTGTGCATCCATCATTCTCCAAACTATTAATTAACAAATTCTGTGATAGGGTTAGGGTTAGAATTTAGGTTAGGGCTATAATTCTCCTAGTCCTGATCCAACATCAACATTATGAATAGTGTAGATGTTTCCGTGGATTGTCACCTTGCTGCGATGGGGAGGCTTCAGTGTTCCGTTGATCTTGAGAGCAATGTCGCCAGGAGTTCTCCAACTCCTGGTAGGGCCACCCATGATGGTAAGGTAGGAGGAAGGAACTGACAAAGCACAATCCAAAACAAGTTGTCAATGGTAATCCAGGCAGAATATATACACGTGATATGAACGACAGTAACAACGGATGAAGGCTACACAGTTGGGAGATCCCCTGTCATCAAGATCTCCTTACACTGGAATTGGATCTATATCTGTCAAGGACTGTGTGTTGGCTGATGTGCAACAGCAGTTAAAAGATGTCATGCACAAGGCGTCTAGCTAGAGGAATTTAACACCTCCCCCCTCCCCCCCAACCCCTACTGCCACACACAAACCCTGTGGTGATTGGCGAGAGGTGATGAGGATAGATTATGAGATTGGGAAGTCCCTAGATTCGGACCAGCACAGAGCTGGCGGAGTTTGATGCAGTCGTTTTGCTTCTGGAATGGGAACAGGATGTGTATCAGCAGCTTTCTTCATGACTGAGCTGCCCCCTTCAGGATCCATTCTGCTCCCCCGGCATGGGAAACGGGCTGGAAAAGCTGCTCTAAAAAATAGTCTGTTCCATCACCAATCTGGCTGGAAAATTGCATCCAGCGGGCTCATCTACCAGCGGTCTGAAAACCAAAGTCAAACTCAGTCTCAGAACCTGGAATGTAGGAACCCTTAGGGACAATAAGCAAATTAATTGTCTGGAATGAAGAACAGCCCTTGCTACCTGTAAATTCTGGCACTTGAACATTGATACCACTGCCCTGCAGGAGACTTGAAGGGTGGGCAAAGGGCAACTAAGGGAAGAAAGTGTTGGTTACACCTTCTTCTGGAGAGGAAAACCTGATGATCGATCTAGGATGCATGAATGGTGCCGTTTCTTCAGTGCCAACATAACAAACCCAACACTCTTGGCCTCAAAGCAGTGCAGAGTAAGGATAGCACCCCTTTTGAGAGACAGAGAGAACATCAGCCTCCAACGGAGAGAACATTTCAAAGAATTTCTAAATTGCAATACAATTGCAGATGAGGATGTGTATGAGGAAATCCCTCAACCCCCCATCAACGATGACCTTAGACTCCAACCCAGTGAGGCAGAAGTTGAAGCCTCCATTAGAGACATGAAGAATGGAAAAGGTGCAGGAGTAGATGAAATCCCAGCAGAGATTTTCAGACTTGCAGGAGCAGAGCTTACCCATCATCTCTATCAACTATTCCTGAAAATCTGGGGCAAAGAAAAATCCCTGCCGATCTCGGGGATTCTACCATCACCACCATCTTCAAGAAAGGAGCTACCGAGGAATCTTCCTATTATCCATTGCCAGGAACATCATCGCCTCACTAGGTTCCTTCTCCCAGTCTCAAGAGTAAATCCTCCCTAAAAGCTAGTGTGGCTTCTGACCAAAGCGTGGAGCTATGGGCATGATTTTCACTGCTGGGCAACTCGGAGAAAAATGCCTGGACCAACACAAATTATTCTGCACGGCCCTCATCAACCTGACCAAGCCTTTGACTCAGTCAATCAGCAAGTGCCAAGGAAGATACTGTCAAAGGCCAGCTGTCCAGTGACATTCATTAACATCTTCCATCTCCTCCATGACAAGATGTCAGCGACGGTGCTCACAACAGTCATGTAATAGAATCCTGTGACTTCAAAACAGGGGTCAAGGAGGGACGTGTCCACCTTCATCTCCACCATTCTTCACCTTGTCAAGAACAAGCTTCCCGCTGGTGTGGACATCGTCTACAGGTCGGACAGAAAGCTTTTCAACCTCAACAAGTCGAAATCCAAGAAGAAAATACACGCTTGTGGAATTTCAGAATGTGGATTACAATGTCATCTCCGCTCTCTCGGAAGAAGATCTTCAAGCTTCACTTAATGCCTTTACTGAAGTATACTGAAGAATTGCCTCAACCAACAGAAGACTCAAATCTTTACCAAACTGTGCCTGGTCAAGTTCCAGTCCATCCCTCCTTTAAGATCAATGATTGGTTCAGTTCACTTTCTGGTCAATATTGATATTGGGTGATTGAGCCATGGTAATGCCAGTGAATGTTGAGAAAGTTAGCTGCACTCTTGTTTGAGATGATCATTGCCTGGCACTTATGTAGCATAAATGTTCCTTGTCACTTATCTGCCCATATCTGAAATCTGTTGTGCTCTCATGACTGGGGTGTGTAATTCTCTGAGTGGAATGACGGAGAAGGTGGGAGAGTAGGGTTGAGGGAGAAGATCAGCCATTGTCATAATGAATGGGGGAGTGGGCTTGAGGGGCTGAATGGCCTATTCCCCTTCCTATTTTTTGTGCTTGTATGTTTATCTGATCTCTAGCTGACCAACATTGTGGGAAGGAGTGGGCACACCTATCACAAGTGTGTTTGTGTGTGTAAGCCAGCCTGCAAGAATCAAGGGGTTAATTCTTGGCCAGGGAGGTGGTGCAGTTTTGTATCGCTGGTGGTTGCTGGTTTGTAGAAGATAATTCCCTTTTTATTGCTGAAAAGAGAGACATGTTGTTGAAGTTCTTCATCCTGCACTCTTTAGGACAAATGCAAGAATGCCAAATTTCAAATGAAGATAACTGTTACATGAGCATACGATGCCAACCACTGCAAATATATACTTGTGTCGATTGATAGCACCATCCACCTTTTTTGACTGGGTCTATGACAGCTGCTTGGTTGAAGTGACGGTGGAAATTCATTAGGTATTCAAGCGAGAAGGTGTTCTTTTCTTTAAGAAGATGCAGTTCATCACAAGGGTCTATGAATAGGAAAGGTTTAGAGGGATGTCTGCCAAATGCTGGTAGATAGCACTAAGTAAGGTTGGGATGTCTGGTTGGCATGGACAGGTTGGACAGAAGGGTCTGTTGCCGACTGTATGACTCTTCTCAGCAGTTCAGAATGCTTGCTGGCAGCTTTTGTCTTTTATCAATGGAAACCAATTTCAGGAGAAAGCCTGTGCAGCTTTACCCAGAGGGAGGATGTCCCTAAATCCCATGCTAATCCATCACAGGGAGCCTTTACTGAATTCCCGATGGTCTCCTGAAACATTCACAAAGCACTCAGGGTTTAGTTTACTTTATTCAAAAGTGCCCACTCTCTCAACCATCACCAGTCTCTAAGGAATAAATATAACAGTCACGATAATTTCCAACTCTTGTAATCTGAAATGTTTATCAGGAGAAAGAGTTTTCATTCGCAAAACACCTTGCCATTTGGGCAACACGGTGAGCGGCATGGTGGCTCAGTGGTTGGCACTGCTGCCTTACAGGTCCAGGGACCCGGGTTCAATTCCGGCTTCGGGTGACTGTCTGTGTGGAGTTGCATGTTCTCCTGGTATCTGCGTGGGTTTCTTCTGGGTGCTCCAGTTTCCTCCCACAGTGCAAAGATGTGCAGGTTAGGTGGATTGGCCATGCTAAATTGCCCATAGTGCCCAGGGGTATGCACGTGAGGTGGAATAGCCAATGGAAAGTGCAGGATTACAGGGATAGGGTATGGGACTGGGCCTGGGTGAGATGCTGTATGGAGGGTCAGTGTGAACTTGCTGGGCCAAATGGCCTG